TCCGCCTTCCTTGTGGGGGTGGGCTTCTGCGGGGGGGCTTCCTCCTGCTCGAACACCCTCCTGCGCTCGTCCAGCTCTTGCTGCGTCCCCCTGTCATACATCCCCAGCAGCCTCCCTTGCCTCTTCAGATCTTCCTCGCGCTTGGTTTCCTGCTCGATTTCCCTCTGGACGTAAAGGGAAGCGCGGCCTTTGTCCTTCCCTTTCCTGCCCGGGCCGGGAGAGGCATGCATGGAGAGGAGCGGCTTGGTCTGGATCTCCACCAGCTCGCTGCCGGAGGTCAGCCGCTGGATCCCCCTCTCCTTCCAGAGGTTCTCCTCCCTCTCCATCGCCATGCGGATCTCCCGCTCGATGGGCGTCTCGTTGCTGGTCTTCGTCTCCCTGTCCAGGCCATTGCTGCTGGCCCTCAGATCCACAAGGCCGTTGAAGATCTCGTTGGATGCGCTTCCATCGCTGGCGTAGCCTGCGTTGGCTTCGTTATACATCTCACCCAAGCCGGAGTCCAGGTCCTCTCGGGAAGGTGCTTTAGTCAAGCTGGACGTTTTCCCGGTGGGATATGACCTTTCAGTGTCAGCCCTTCTGGAAGCATAAGCGTCCTCCTTCACCGGTGTCTTGTAGGACACACTATAGACTTGATAAACGGTCTTGTCCGTCCTGCTCTGGCTGGGGGCACCGGCATTACCGTAACCTTTCACAGCCTTCGTGGCCATCTCAGGACTATGCCACTCTTGTTTAGAGACTTTTGTCATTGACTCTGGCTTTGGAGACATGGTCTGTTGCCCTGGGCTGAAAAAAGAGCCCGGGTTGGTCTTCTCCAGCATCAGGAACTGCTGCCGAGCAGCAGAGAAGTTGATCTGCTCCGTGTCGATGTTGTCAGGGTCAACAGGCATTGCTGCCCTCCCTGGGGAAGGCTTGTCAAAGCAAATGGCAAAGCTGGTGGTGAAGCTGCCCGTGTGCCTGCCTTCACCCTGGCTGCCTGTACCAGTGTTTATGGAGCTCAGCTCATCCATGGAGCTCCACCTCTCGGCCATGGTGGAGCTCTTCCTCATCACCTGGCTCCGGATGACCTCCCTCCTCTCGTCCTCAAGCTCCCTGGCTTTCTCGGGTGAGATGTTTGGTGGAGGGACCCTGCACTCTTCCTGCTCGTCCTCATCGTAAAGCTTCGAGGGTTTCCGCTCGCCTCTGTAAGCCCTGAGGTCGTACAGGCTTCCCGACCTCACCACCTCCAGCTTAGACTCCCTGTCCGGGGACGGGGTCCAGACATCTTTTCCACCATCTAGGAAATATGAGGGTGCATTTGACCTCATTTTCCAGCTGTAGCAGTTTTCCACCCTTTGGCTGCTGGGTTGAGCGGAGCCAAACACATCATCGTTGCTGTCGACCCTCTGCTCTGCAAGCGAGCCAGGTTGGTGAGCATCGTTATAGTCGTGCCTGGTCTGCGGGAGCTGGAAGACCAGGTGCCTGGTGACTCTGTCCATCTCCTGGGAAGAGTCAGCGTTCAACCCTTTGCCAACCTCACCCTGGACTTGGGAGACTGCTCAGCTTCGAGGTCACCTCAGGCTCCTGCTCACCTGAGGATGAGGGGCAGGACCTGGCTGGCCCTGCAAGCAGGAGGGGAGAGCAACCATTAAGAGCAGCAGAAGGAGCAGAGGTTGGGGGTGTGCAGCCCCCTCTCCCCACCGGTACTGCTGTCCTTGCCCGGGTGGTGACCGGGAGATACTTGTGACCAGGGGATGGACGTCCCAGCGCTCGTTCACTCTTTTTACCCAGAACCGCCAGGTCTTGGGCAGAAGCAGCCCAAGCACGAAGCACTGTCCCCAGCGGGAACAGCCCCAAACCCAATGTCTCCCTCCCGCCTCCGTCCCCCA